ATTTTCAGCTTGCAGGTAGAAGGACTTAATAATATGATTGACAGTAATTATGGCTTCCTATAAATGTATTTTATCATTTGTCAAAAAAATGATCCTGGCCGGTACGTTCCAAGGAATATAGGCGAATTGGTCATCTTCTCGACCACGGATTTCATTAAGGTGCCTCTCTTTAAGCTTTTTGCGCTGCTCCCTCACAGATTTTGATACGTCGTCTGAAATGTATAGATTTGCTTGATGGAAAGGATTCTCTTAACTTAGAGGCCGCATTACGCAGGATGTATTCCTTGGCGGTATATCTTAATAAATATACGTGAACTGGCCTGGGTAGAGTTGCCCCACTTGTAGGACTTTGCCTTTGTTTGATATTTGTGCGGTGGGCCCGCATTACTTCTATCTCCTCTAGGCCCATGTGTTCCGTCAAGATCGAAGTTACAAGCGCTAAGCAGAACGAGTCTTTTTCGGCACCTTCTGGAATGCTCCAAATAACAATATTATTTCTTTTAGAACGATTCTCCATTTCTTCTAATTTCTTCTCAAGTAGTTCCACTTGTACTATATCAGCTTTCTTCTGCAAGGTTTGTTTCACTGCTTCCATTTCTTGGTTCATCCCTTCTAAACCTGCGGATAATTCGCTCGTTGTAGTTTCAAGCGTTGTCAGCTTCGTTAAGATAGTATCATGGCGACTTTGGCTCGAAGCTTCCAACTTATCGATTTTTTCTGCAAGACTTTTCGCCAGGCGACTCAGCTCCGCAACGTTTTCCGCCGACATAGTAGACTGAACTTTAAGCTTCTTTCCTGAGCGCAGAATACTCATACTAAAAACTTTGAAGCCATTTTAGATACTTTTCGAGCAGAGCGCGGAACGGTACGTCTTACTACCTCGAAGCCATGCCCAGTCCCCCCCCCCCCCCCCTTCGACGATACTTGCGTCAGCAAGTTCGAGACCTTGCAAATGTACGTAAATATGGACATTAACTTTAGCAGACACCGCTTAACAAATCTTCGGAAAACACAGCGCTGATACCTCGATTTCTCCCAGAGATCCTTGTAAGTGTAGGTTTTCTACATCGCATTGTTGTTTTGTGTACCTTTCATATCCAAAGGTGTTGAGATGTAATGTTTCCGACTTGACAGGTGACAGATTTAGCTTTGATTTTCATCGGTTTGTTATGTAAGTACGTTGACTTCCGGTATCCAGATGAATTCTGACTGACGCAGTTTCGGAAATACATCGTTAACAGCTGTAGCCTTCGTCGTTTATAAGAGAACAATTCCCTTTGCTTTGTTGCGCACTGTTGTCGTTGTTGTCGTCGTTTCTTCGGGAGAAATTTCCTTCGGTTTCGCGCTTTTTTGGTCACGCAACGAACAAATCGACTGATGATGCCGCTGACCGCAGTGACGGCATGTGTTTTGATTTTAGCATTCCTTCACATCGTGACCAAATCGCAAGCAATTAAAACATCGATTATCTCGTTCCAAAATGTTTCTTCATTTAGCGTTATCCTTAACAACATCGCAAGAGGCAGGATAATGCACGTTTCAACAAAAGACACATTTTCTTCTGCAGCTCTCACCTTGCTGTGAGACCAGAGAACGGAGAAGTGGGGGTTGATTACGAAATTTGGCATGTCCCGATGCTTGGGGTGATTTTCGGTCCTCGCTTGTTTTCGTCATCTCGCCATCTTTATCACGTTTGAGAACTCATCCATTTTCCATACTGAATCCTTAGAGTTCCTAGCTATCTGCAATCTAATCTCGGACAGCAATTTGGACATAATGATTGGAATTAATAGACTACCGTATTGATCTGATGTTACGCCGAGTGATGCCATGCCTCGGGAATGGACACATACTGTTAAAAGACAAAATTGGCATCTGGCAAGAATTTTCATTATGGGTGATTTTTTACTTATTTTAACGTGAAAATAAATGGAAATAATATATCAGCATAAGCTATTCAATAAACATTGTAATTAGCCAGTTGATCATTTCTTATTCCTTTTGGCGGTCTTACCTTACAGGTAGAGTTTGGTCACCTTTTTCCTTATTATGATCGTGAATTTGACATGGAGACAGATGTTTTTGTGTAAACTGCGGTTTGCGGCTAGATATCAATATATTTCCATTACGTTGCTAAAAGATGATTAACTACTAAGAAAATGAGTCTACCTCCTAAAAATTGATCCGTGCAGGAATTTCCTGGAAACAACCCTCCTTTATACTTTTACCCACTTAATACTCTCGTTTTTAGGCTAAAGCCATGTCGAATTCCCGATTCGGGAAGTAGTTTTTAATTTGAATTGAGCACGTTCGACACCTATTTTTCTTAGAAACGTAAATTAGCCACCGTAAAGGGTAAAAAAGCTGACGTTTCGAGCGTTAGCCCTTCGTCAGAGCGATTAGAGGAATTGTGGGTTGTGTGTGGATTTATATGTAGGAAGTGGAGCTACGCCATTGGTGGGAATGTGGTGACGAGAAAACAGGAATAAATTAGTTGAATGAAAAGCGCTCGTTGATTCCGTGGGGATTAAGGGTGCCGATTTGGAATATAAATTTTTGTTCTAGTGTTTTACGGCTTTCCGAACTGCCTAGATGTAAGGATTGATCACTTTACGTGTACCTCCGCCAATGTTATTTACTGCATAACTTGCACTTTTTGCAATAAGTTATACATCGGCGAAACAGGAAGACGACTGGGTGACCGATTCCGAGAACACCTTCGCGATGTGGAAAGAAATAACAAGGACGCATCCAAACCAGTCGCTAGACACTTTAATCTTCCTTATCATTCTAAACAGCATATGGCAGTTTGCGGCCTTTCCTTACATCTAGGCAGTTCGGAAAGCCGTAAAACACTAGAACAAAAATTTATATTCCAAATCGGCACCCTTAATCTCCACGGAATCAACGAGCGCTTTTCATTCAACTAATTTATTCCTGTTTTCTCGTCACCACATTCCCACCAATGGCGTAGCTCCACTTCCTACATATAAATCCTCACACAACCCACAATTCCTCTAATCGCTCTGACGAAGGGCTAACGCTCGAAACGTCAGCTTTTTTACCCTTTACGGTGGCTAATTTACGTTTTCAACCCAGTTGTTAACACTAATTACCTGCTATACTCTCCCACCGACGCAGCACCACAGTTTCTTTAGAAACTTACCCCTTTATTTTTCTTAGAGGTGACTTAGGGTGTACACATGAAGTACTTTTCATCTTCCGCATTGAATTTGTACTCAGATAACTTATACGGCTAGCACGTAGCTCTTTCAGGGGCGGTACCTTGGGTACGACCATTCTTCTCCGAATTTTTTGTTTATTCTGCCGATATGTAGCAGTCTTCAAGGAATATTTTCTCTTAAGATATCTCTTCAAGTATGATTTTAATTCTGTTAGTAAGTTATTATAATTTTTTATTAGTCAATCTTGTTTTTGTTTCGCTTAGTAGGATTAAGAAATTTAAGGCGAAAAGTCATTTTTTAAAGCGTAAACATGGCGAAGGTATCTACTTGGTATGCGAACTCCGCTCTGCGTAGTTTAGCGTGATTGGCTAATTAAGTGTAAAAGCATGACAAAGGTTAAATAGTGACAGCTCAGTAAGTGTCACCTTAATAAGTGGTGACCCACACTTTCCTAAACAGGTCAGGGCTAGTCCCCGTTGTAATAACTTAAGTAATAAAAGTGAATCAAGAAAGAGACAACAAAACAACGAGTGTTAGTACACAACTTCTAACAATATTCGATCGTACTCGTATCTAAGGCTTGAAGGGCGATCATCAGAACATGGTGACACCTTAATAAGCTGATCCATATGTGCACGGATAATTTACTGGGGACCGTCACATCGTTCTTGCAATAATTTAACTGCGGCATCGTAGTTTGCCTCGGTTAACGTAAGACCCGGGATTACTCGAGCTGCCACTCTCTCAAGAACATAATTGAGATAATTAAACTTATCAATGTTAGAAATCCCTTCGTTACGATGTACCGCTACCTGAAATGAGTCCCAGAACGTGTTCCATTTAGTAACATCTCCTCTAAACTTCGGAAGGGATAACTTCGGTAATCTAGTACGAACAACATTTTGACTCACCGGCTGTGCCATCGCTCGATATGATTCCACATGTTATTGAGTTGACATGTTTGCTTTACTTACATTGCTGTGCTGAACGTATTTGATCTCGATCTTTAGTTTGTCATTGCGATTCCGCCCCACGCTGGGCGCCATTAAGTGAACGCAACACATGTTAATTCGTTCATTTTGATTTTTACACGACTTACACCATTACTTTTCCCGCGAATCGGGTTACATAAATTACGCAAAATGGTAAGTCACGTGATCATTTCCATATACGGATTGCTGGAATAAATTAAAGTAAAATATGAAATTAGAAGATCCTCGCAGCAAAGAACACTACTGAAACTAGTAGTTGTAAGTAGGACCTGAAAAAAATTTCAGGCCCGTACGGGATTTGAACCCATGACCTCTGCGATACCGGTGCAGCGCTCTACCAATTGAGCTAACAAGCCAACTGGGAGCTGGTCAATGAATTGGGTACAAATAAACATCCGAGTGAATGAAGATTTTAGATATATGAAAATTCACATATTTGCACTGCGGTGGAAAGATGAAATTAGAAGATCCTCGAGGATCTTCTAATTTCATCTTTCCACCGCAGTGCAAATATGTGAATTTTCATATATCTAAAATCTAAAGTAAAATACTTACTGCATATGTTATAGGGAGAAATTGCAGGTTAATCACTCCTGGTAGTTAAAAGGTCAAGGTAGACAATAACAACATTTGTCTGACTCTCCATTGTTTACTTCAATTTTTTTGGAAAATAATTTATTGATTGAAGTTGAGGATGTTCAATAGTTGTTACATGCAAAATTATTACACCATGTTGTTAACTAAAGGCAGACATAACAACATTTGTCTGACTCTCTGTTGTTTACGTGTTACGGTATAATCTAACCGACAGAAAAACACTAAATCCCACATACTCAACTATTTTATTAAACAGCGGGTAATGTTCTTAATTAGGAGCGACTCCTAAATGCAGTACAATGTTAATCGTAAATAAACTTATTTAAGCCCACTTAAATAAGTGCGTTTTTGCAGGTGCCATAAGCACATCTCTTTGTCGTAACCATTATGTTTAGATATACACTTACTAAACAACTGCAATCATACACATTCATAGAGGTGAAATCGGTTTTATCTTTGGGAATCAAGGCTTCCTCACTTTCTTTTGCCGAAGTTTGAACTCATGTGCTGCGAGCTCGGCTCCACGTCCGAACTTTCGAGGTTTGTTTACATCAAAAGTCACGTGACACTACGTGAAATCACGTGAAATCTAAAGCCCAAAAGGTGAATTACTCATAACATACGCCAATTTATTTTTCCATTTAACAAGTGGATGTCATGTTCAAGGCTTTATCTGAGAGTCAGGTTCTTCATCCAGTTCTCCATCCAGTTCTCCATCCAGACCCTGAGAATGAAGAAGGAGAAGGTAAATCACCAATCATTGATTAAAATACTAATTGATTGGTCCTAGAGTGATACAGGTATGATCGAGTGCTAGGCTCTCCACGCTGTGTTCTTGGGCAAGAAACTTTACTCCCACAGCACTTTTCTATCTAGGGGTATGAATGAGTGCTGGTGAACTGTCAGGGAAATGAAATTCTAGTAGGTTCACTTCTAATGAGGGTGAGAAGTACTAGTAACACATGACTATGAATATGCAAAAATCAAATATATGAACTACGGATTGAGAAATGAATATGAGAACATGGGCAGCCATGGATATCATGGATAAGAAATTTTCTTTCAGCAAAATTCTTGGCAAGTGTGGTTCAAGCAAACTGATAACTACAGCTCTGATAACTACAGCTCCAACAACTTCGTCTCGTGTCCGTGTCTCACGGAGGTTGTAAACGAGTTAAAATAGTCTGAACGATGAGTTATCTTTCCTTGAGTACTCTTCACGAATGAGCGACCAAAATTATTACAATTACCAGCTGAAATTTAACTTGATGGGTTGCTACCATTTTTACTTAGTACTGTGGCTCCGCTGCGCGCGTGCTGCGCGCTCAACTAATGTGTCATATTGCCAGGCAGACAAATAACCCCAAGAAATTAATCAATGTGATACATCGTTATTTACATATTTGGTTCGTGTTGTGAGCTCGTTACTTTTTTCTACACAAAAGAACAAGAAGGTAACAATTTCAACTTAAGTTGATACCACGACTACTGAATTACAACTAAACGGAACCACCAAGATCGTAAAAGTTACTTTTCCCAGCCCAACCTTCGCCAATAGTTTCTTTTTGTGGCTGGCTTAGGTTAAAAAATTTCCAATATACTTTTGTCGATACATAAATAGCAAAGTTTCCATTGGTTTTCTACCTTGTCGTCTACCTCGACGATGCTGTAGATTTTTCTCACAAAGAAGAAACAGGCGAAAAATCCCACAGTACCTAGGAAAAGGAAGAAGCGATTTTAGATTTAAATGAAAGGTATAAACAAGTGCATGTATCGTGATTCATATGACTAACAAAAACGTTTTCACTGGTTCATACTTTTGATCTGTTAGAGGACAAACACGTAGATGACGTCACCATCGACGATATGGTGCTTTATACCATATATATATGAAATAAATTCTATGTTGCCTCGTTAAGCGATGGATCACAGATAAGGTCAAAATGCGTTTGGCAAATCATTGACACACTTGGCTGCGCCCTGTGTGCCACGTTTTGTTCATACCACATCTTAACGTCCTTTGTGATCTAATACTGAACGGACGCACTGCTACATGGAATCTATTTGTTTAGAATTTATGGATGCATGCGGGAAGTTTGGAGATCTCGAAAGAAGCGTAAGGGTTGTTGATCCATTTGTTTAGAATCTATGGATGCACGTGCAAAGCGCAAGAGTTGCACGAGGCGCAGTGGAGAGCAACTCTAGTTTCCTCAGTTTCGGCCACGCGGGAGCCTGGAACAAGTTACCAATCTCAACGGCACAGAATACCAATCACAATGGCAAAGATCCATAACGTACTTACCAGTGAAAAGGAAGAAGATCAACACCATGATCAGTGTGTAGCCGAAGTACAGGAAGGTAGAGGTTGTTCCTGTGATGTTCAGTTTGGTGACAAAGAAATGAATCGAGTACAGAAAGAAATACACTGCAGTACATCCGCCAGTCAGGAAGGAACGCCACCACCAATGATAATCCTGCAATTGAGTAAAGCGTTGAAAATAAGCGAAACATTGTTGTTCGGGACACGCTTCAATACCTTTACACTAAAAATACACAAATATTGGGAAAGGATCTAGTTACGGCCGTGAGTCCCTTTACAGAATCTGATTTTCGCGTAACGAGATCGTATTTAAGAACTACATCGACAAGTTTTGAGTTCCGAGCACTACAGACGATGGATGAAGTTTCGTTTTGAACATAAGATACGAAGCACACCGCATGCGCGTACCGGCGAGATGTAAATGTTTGGGATTGGCACCCGCGAGACAGAGCAATTTACAAACGCATACTGGCGAGAGGTGAAGTTTCGTGGACTTTCGTTCCACTTGCACCAAGGAAAACCAGTTCTTTTACTGTACATGGGAACCGCTTCTAGCTTCAAAGGATACATAACACGAATGTAACCCTAATACATAGAGAAGCTATATCTAGAAGTGAAAGCCACAGCTTCGCCTTCAACCGTAGCAGGAATTTTTTCAGCTTCAAAATTGCCACGAACGAAAAAGCGTGTTTATAGTCAAAATATAACAAATAGAAATAAAAGGGTATCTAGAATGTACGAGAGCAAATTGTTAAGGTGTATAATGTAGCGTACCATAAAGTCAAATTGTGGTGTGGTCTGTTCACAGACCTCTATTTCCCTTCGATCATCGTCCAACGCTTGGGCGCAAGAGAAGCCGCTGGGGAGTTACCTACGTGAACCCTTAAGGGTGGGATAATTTCGCGCTCGTTCACGCGCGATCGCTTCGCGCTCCCTCCCTTAACTATGAAGAAAACAGCCATAGAAAGACTAGTTTTGGTTGGAATTTAACCTCATGAATTTCCTCACCTCAGCACGAAGATGGAAATAACACAACAGTATGGTGGTCTCGGACACGGTCAACAGTAGAATTAAACAAACCACAAACAAGAAACCAAACATGTAGTAAATCTGATGCGACCTGGTTGATGCAGAAAAAAGCAAAAATCACTCATACAGTTCAAACATAAAATGAAGCATCGAGCTGCTGTTTTATTGGGTAACCCGAAAATCCAAATAAAATAGATCAGTGAAGTTTTTCAAGAAGTTTATACAATAAAAGTGGAATTTAAGGAGGCTGTCTTTATTATTACGTGTTCAAATTAAATGATTAAGACCTTTCCTTACAATAGGGAAGAAAATAACTTTTTGCAAGACAAAATATACGTATGGCAGAATTTAGAGAAAGAGATTTGGATTCAAGTCCGGTTTGCATCATACAAAATCGCCTGATACCCCTATAAATATATTAATTGCTTGTCAGCAAGGTAGTCTGGTTTACGAGTTTAAAAAACGTTAAAGCCCAGTAACAAGTTACACGCAAACAAAAAAAAAGGAGAAAAATCGAACGATTTAAAATGGATTTAAGTAAAATCTCCATCATTCATACATTAAAGAGACTTACCAAATACTGTTTAAGATAAAAAACAACTGGATATAAATACACCCAAACGGAAGAACACCTCCCATTATGATTCCTAGCGCTGCTCTAGTGTAAATTCTCTGCAAGATAACAATATTTATTGTTTTTTTAGAGGGCACGGTAACGAATCTTGCAATCTGATTGGTTCTTTACCCGGTCAGTATTTTCCTATCTCTGCCCACGGGCCACGGTAACGCTTTCGTGAGTCGCCGAATACATCCCAACTTTCGTTGTCATTTTTCATAAATATACCTCGTTTTCCGGCTGGGCAGTATTTTTAAGCAAACACGTCGGTCACTACCTCAAGCCGATAAATAACTTATGAATCCTCTCTTTTCTCTCTATCAAATCACTTTGGTTGTCAGAAAAATATTGGTTTCAGAATGAATTTGTATAAACAATAGTGTCATTACGTTGGTTGACAAGCGGCCTAAAACACGTCTGCAATTAATTTTAATCGTTCACAAAAAGTACCCAGAAAGTTGAAAAGTGAGGTATTTGGTTACAGTTAAACTGAACGATGGAACTTTCATTCATTTAATATCTGAAGTTTCTCGAGCAATTTGTTCATAGTGAAAGAGCGAGCGAAGTTTTAATTTAAGTTCTACAACAAATATACGCTCCTGGTGAGTCTTTCCAATTCCGTTCAATTTGGACATTTGTACCTTAAATTGCACAACAGAAATTGAAGGAATTTTTTTGAGAAAAGGCCGCATTACATTCGCTTGTGTCTCGTTGGAGTGTGCCGTTCGAATTTAGCTTTTGGTGAAGGAAAGATCAGAGTTAAACACGCCATTACAGCAAACAAACGAGCAAACTCTCACAACTTCAAAATAAAAAAATTGAATTTACTCACAATTACTTTCCTCGCCGTTTACTTAATGAACAGAGGTAAATCTTCGTACATGAATGAATGATCGATGAGAGTGAATAATACTTTCCGTTAGATCATTAACTGACTTTGAAGAAAACATTGTCGTGACAGTCCTTGCCAAACTAGTTGGTTTTCAAATGTTCCTACGCTTTTTTTTTTCTTGGGCGCTCTCTAATTGACAGGTGTCAGATTGTGACAGATACTTGTAAAAATAATGTTTCAAAGTTTGTTTGGAAGCCTTTTAAATCACCTTTATCGTTACGGAAATGAAAATGTTTCGCTGAGGCATCTCTCTTAAATTTGCATCACCTCTATTTTAACTACCATTTACTCACTCAAAAATTGTTCAGTTTATGGAAGATCTTGCCGTATTTACGGCCATAAATCATTCGGGTTCTTTCGGAAAGAATTTCGTCAAGTTTAAAAACAATAAATATGTTATTTACCGGCTAAGGGTCGGTCCGTATGGTGAAAAACTGTGACCTCGGTCTTGAAAATGCTGCCCTCGGCCTACGGCCTCGGGCAGTATTTTCAAGACCTCGGTCACAGTTTTTCACCATACGGACCTCCCAGCCGGCAAATAACATATATTTATTTTGAGACAACGTCTTGATGATTTTGATACAAATCTATTCCACGTAGAGCACTAAAGAGCTTTCCGATTGAGTGACGTAACGGCAAAACCACCGTAATCGCAACGGCCAATCAGAAGGAATGAAGTAATAAGAGCCAATAAAAACTCAAGTCTAAAGCGCGGGAAAACGCGGGTTACCAAGCAGAAGTAAGAAGAGCCAATAAAAACTCAAGCCTAAAGCGCGGGAAAGCACGGGTTACCAAGTTGTGATTCCTTTTAGTTCTGGATTTGATTGGTTGATAGAGTGGCGCGAGTTTTTTGAACCAGTCTCGGGGCGAGGTACAGCAAAATCCCGAATTACTTTCGGCACTCAGTTGAAAGCTTCGCTAAAATAGACATTCACTCGTTATCCTAATTCAAGTTCTAAATGAATCATTGTCTAATATAAAATGGTTAAGGCAAAGGTAGTGTGTGAATCAGAACTGAGGTATGGAACCACCTGGATTGTAAACCTCTAACTTGAGGTACACTGTATTCTTCAGAGTCCATAATTGTACTTACCTGGTATGGAATCTGACGAGGAATTTGATTGGTTCGAACTGGTTGCTCAATTGGCTGGAGGTAAAAAATAAACATTATTCAGAGTCCATAATTGTACTGACCTGGTCTAGAATCAGACAGGGGATCTAATTGGTTCGAACAGGTTGTTCAATTGGCTAGAGGCAAAAATTGAACACCTAATCAGCCCCGTTCTACATTACAATGTGAAACTTTGACGCTTACGGACAACACCAGTGACATATTGGTAAACTCAAGTATATGTGGAAAGGTGTGAAAGGTCCAAAGGACTGACCTTTCAATATTAAAAAATATTTCAATCTAAGGATTTGTTGGAAATACTGCAGGAAGCTTTAGCAAAACTAATAGATTTTAGAATATTCTTATTTTCCATGCAAGTTGTCTCTTAAAAGTAGCAAAGTTAGAACAGTTCTTGATGTCATCAGGTCTGGGATCGAGCCAAGGCAGGGTCTTTTAAATGCCTTTAAGGGCAAGAAACTTTACTCTCAGAGTGTTTCTCTCCACTTAAGTGCATAAATGGGTATTAATACTCTATTGAAGGAACCTGAAACAATACTCCTAATTGCTTTACCATTCAACTCCTAAGAGTGACAAGCATCTAATTTCTCCTTACAATATCAGCCTTGAACATAACATGAAGGTCATGAGAATAAAGCAAATGATCACCAGGTAAAGAAGCTTTTGATTGTTGAACAAAATTCTCCTTGTCAGCACCTTAAGAAATGTATAGAGGACAGTTGGGAGAATATGAATAACAATGTGAGGGTGTCTAGGGTTTATGCTATGGAAACCAGGATATGTGTTGGTCATATAGGTTTTCTCGTTAATAGGCTGACTTTAGATTGACTTGTACCTTAATTATCAGCGGTTTATACATGTACAGTAATTACCTTTTTCTTGAATCCGAGGTAAACCCCCAGGAATGTAAGTGGAGCTGAAATGCCAAACCTATCAAGCAAGAAAGGAAAAAGGAAAATTAACATTCCACGCATGTTTCATAAAATGTGCTGAGTCACAGGCTGCTAATGATTCAGGTTTAGACTTACAACATGGCCAACAGGGTGAATAAAGTGATAAACGGAACAGCTGCTGATGAACCCTCTGACCACAGAACACAATTCAAAAGGAAGAAAATTCCAAATATCAATCTGGAATTAAAGAAAAAAGTTATTACATTTGACAAGGGTGATGGTTATAGCAACAATATTGAAAATGACAATTACACTAACAGTCATGAAGACCACAAAGATAATGATACAGAGAATGACAAAGATCATAGAAATTATAATGATGATGATGACGATAATAATGATGACAATGATAATAATCCATTCTTTTTAGATGCATATCTACTGTGACACAAAATTTCACACAATATGGCATTAGACTTACTTTAAGTAGCTAAGAAAAACTGAGTATTTTTGGCGGTATACATTGCAAGCTAAGGATTTTAAATCCTCCTTAAAAGATCTTTGCATGAATACCCCTTACAAGAGGTATTCAGCTGCTTCACCTAACTTCATTATTTCCAGCTGTATACTACAGTGTACATGTTTGCATCACTGAATACTCACCCAGGAAAAAGGAAGGCCGATAACAAGGTATTGGCCTTCCACAAGTCTCCGCCAACCACTAAACAGGAAAAAAAATGGGTACAAAGCACCATCAGAATTATGCTCAATGGAAAATGCCACCCAGAAGACCAGGGACACTGATGGATGATTGGGTACGCATAGAAAGGCTACATAACAGTTTCACTGTATACTGACCAAAGAAATTTCTTTATATAATTATAGCTAAAAAAAAATTGAGAACAAGCAAACACCTTTCACAAAAGAACAGAATCTACTTTGCTGAGAAAAACACATAAAAACGAAAATGTTTTCCATGTAATGTAACGTTCTCCCTTGAAAATACTGCCAAATGCTTGTTATCGATGGCACTCACTTTTGTAAATTCTTGCAGAAACATAACCAGCAGGTGAACCAAGACAAACAAACAGCACCTGCAAAAAAAAAAATTTTCATTTTACTTCTTTGGCTGGGTTCTTAAACATTTTGGTGAACAAAACTCACAACGTTTTCCACACTTTTTCCAAACAACTCTTCTAAATTTACCAAACTGAAGGTTACATGTACATGGAGAACTACATGACCTGTGCTCAATAACCCCTGTTGGAGGATTAGGCCAAAAAATTCACTGATCATTGCATTTAGAAAAGTGATTATTATTTAGGCAATTACCTTACAAAGATCTAACACAACAATAAGGAAATGGTTGCTGATTAGGAAAAGATTTTTAAAAGACGTTATTTTATTATACTAGGGCCATACATGTTCATTTAATTTTGAAGATTTCTGCTTTTTTTCCCAAGAATGTCAGGCAGCAACTCACCAATGAACAAGTCACCAAAGCTCCACGGTTCGCAGGTGAAAGGAATCCAAAACAAGCAAACACTGAAGAGAAGCAAAAGAAGATTTAATCAATGAGACAACACCTTAGTTAAAAAATTAAATATAGAGTTAATACATACATGTAGTTGAGGAAAACAAATTAAACTGATTCCTGACATGAGAAAAAATACAATGAAACAAACTCAAAAAAGGGTAGGGAAAAGTCGTTGGTGAAAGGTCAAGATTAGAATGTTACATTCTTAGACAGGGTGGGTACTGGCAACCTGCCAGGGTAACCTGCTATGAACTGGAATCTCATCCAGAGGGAGAAAAAAATACAGGGATGTACTCCTAGTCTCCTCATGCAAGAGAAACCAGATTTAGCCCCAGTAATGCAAATGGAATGCATACAATTCTTTTTAGGCCATACAAAAATACATAGTCAATCTCACATTACCCTTTCACACTCACCTAATGTGAAAAACACTGTAATCAATGTCTGAGTTCCACAACCCAACATGACAGACAATAACATTCCATTCTTTGGAGGGCGGAAGACATCTCCATGAACCAACTTCCAGCGAAACGTTTTCTGACAGCATACCACTGACTCCATCTGATTGTAGGGAGCAATGTCCTTGCGCAGAGTTCGCCGCATAATCAAGGCCACCATTCCCGACAAAAAGAGCACAATGACCGATGAATTCATGATGCTGAGGACAAAACATCACAACACCAATAAGATCACATATTAGAATGGATCAATACCATCAAGAGGGTTGTAGAATAAACATTACATCTTTGCATTCCTACCAGTAGAACTTACACAAGCCTCTGAGTTGAATCAAAGACTCTCTATGACATAATCTGCTGACAACTGTACATACATGCAGATTAGGCCTTTCACTCTGAAGAGAGACTATGAAGATGAGTCATCTTGTACTGTCGATACATTATGAAGTAGAGAGATGATGGAAGGAAAGAAGCTTATCTACAAGGGGATATTGTTTGATTTTTATTTTGACGTTTGCATTTTACTTTTTAATACAGCCACACATCACACCATCGGCAACAGATTATAGAAAAAGATATTGAAACCCTGCTTTTATCAACTCATAGCTAACAACTGCATCTACAGTGTAACTGACTATTATTCACTTTTGTGCACCATTGCAGATAAACAACTCTGCTCATCTACTTGCCACAGTACCCCAGTATGTTAATACATGTGGAGTATATCTTACCTAAACCACTGGATTTTTGTGTGTGGCATTGAATCAAGAATGTAGTCCCAACGGGATGCCCATTTCTGATTGGGATCAGTCTCTGGCTGCAAAATAAAATAAAATTTCCACTTCAGTACAAAAAGATACCATTGCAAGTACAATGACCCTGAGTCCTCCTTCACCAGAGTGAAATGCTTGATTTCATAAAGGCCAAGTAGAAAGAGAAGTACCACAATAACCTCGGAGAGGGGAGGGTGAAGAAAGGACTTTGCATATCTCACGTAGACATGAACCCAGTTTAGAAAAGGCTTCTGATCAACAAAAAAAAGTTTTGAACTCTTGTGTAGTAAATATATTTGTTACAGAAGTATGCTTCAATGCCGTCACCATTGGAAAGGTTCATTTGTATCCTTTCAGGACCTTACAAAAAATTAGAAGCATGACTTTCCAAAAGGTATCCTTGGACGTTTTTAGCATTTTTCATGGTTCGCATAATACCTGTAAAATTGTTTGAAAAGTTGGTTTTACTTAGAGAACAACATTTCATGCTTTCCTGTGCATTCTTTCTGCAATAATGTTCTATTGACTCAATTGCTATCTCTGGCCCCCATTCTTAATCTTTGACTTTCCAGAATTGACATAAAGGAATTCTAAAAGTTCAGTTTCCCAAGATTTTAGTTATACTAAGATTTCAACCCTTTCAACACCAAGATCTCATTAGTAATTCTCCCTAATGTCTTCCATATAATAATTATATGTTAGATCTGAATATTTGGCATTAGATCAAATAATAATCCTGTGACTGACATTTCTCTTAAAGTTTATTCTCATCACTTGCCTGCGTCATACTGTATTGATTTAATATTATAGGAAGAAATTTGTCTTGGTCACTACCAAGGAGTGATTTCATCTTCTTATTTCAATGCAATCATTATCCAGCATAACATGATGAGAACAAACAAAAATGTTTACTAAAGGATAATTATCATATGATTCACCTCCAAATTCTCAGAGCTAAAACTATAAGAAATTTAAGGCAGAGAGCAGGGAGAATCACTACTAAGATTTTGGGAAAGACTACATTTAAGATATTATATGCTCAAACTCACCAGGAATTGAACAGAGTATGTGTAAGCAATGTAAACATCACTTTTTAACTCAGCTGGAAAACCCATGGCTGGTAAATCATCATCACATTTCAGATCCTTGCCTTTCTCGTGCTTGATACTGTAGAATTAACAAGATTGCTGTGTAAGGATATATGATTTTTTTGTCTTGTCATGCATCTGACTCCTTGAGAGGAATCAAACTTCAAAGTGTAAAATCAGCAAGTACAGTATACAGGTGTATGAGATTGGGTTTCCTAAAGGAACTCAGGTCTTTTCTTTGTCCCAAACTCATGTCAAGACAAAAACAAATCCATCAATACTACACTTACAAGCTTAAAATTTACAACTTTTATTACTACAAGATTGCTTCAAGTTGATGACATATATAAAACATTCAGGCACTATGGCGCAAAAAAAAAAAAAAAACAAACAAATAAAGTATGCACTCTCATCAAGTGACTCCTCCAGTAAGAGCTTATCCCAATTTCTGTGGCATGTAGTGCCAATCAATTGCTGGTTATTCTTGTCCAGCATTTTGACAGGTTTCCCAGAACATAGTGGGGGTAGCACTAAGGGAGTTCAGTGTCTCACACACCAACAGTACACAATGAACAGGGCAGATCACAGATCCCAGACCCAGACCCAGACCTCTTAACTCAAGAGTCCAGCTCAGCACACAGACCATAAGGCCACTGTGGCCCTCCCTGACACTGCTGTTTGTGCAGTTCATACCTTTTTGGTGTGACCTGTGCAGACATCAGACGAGCTCCTTCCCAGTCTTCCCCAGACCCATCATGGTATTTGATCTCGATATCAACATGATTAAAGATGTAGTGCATCCCGCGTTCATTGAACTTGGCCTGAAACAAAAAACATAAACAAGGGACAAAATAATTCTCACAATTAAATTACCAATAACAAAATTACAGATAAAACAAAAAACATCCAGGCTTTCAACTTGAGCCTGGTAAAGACTAAATGGGCTCGAATGCCAACTGAGCTGCAATGCCACACGTGGGAAGTAGAGCAAACTTTGGAGGATTTGTCAAGGATAAACCTGAAATTCTTTAGTTCTGGTTCCCTTCAGTTTGCTCACTGATTGGTCAAAAAGACTCTGTGCCATCCTTTCAACCAATCAGATGCAAAACTAAAACCAATCATGACTTAGTCGTTGTCCCCTTCACCCCAACAAGTTTGCCTGTGTCTTAATGTGACTTTTCATGAACTTACATTTTCGATCATTTTCCCCTTTGTTCAGTTTGGCTGTAATGATGACTTCAATTTCAGTTTTCATCCCTCAATTGAAAACTTCTGGCCTTGGTTGGGCCTTGGTTATTCAATGGAGGGATAATGCTATTCAATGCAGTCGCTGTAAATTGCTATCCAACATGTAAATCTCTATCCAGTGGATAAGTCTTAACAAAATGTACTGTGCTACCCACCAGAGAGAGATTTCTCTAGTGGATAGCATTACCCACCTTTAAACAACCAGTCTCAGTAGTTTACTAATTGAGAAATCTGTGAATACTTACACTTGTCACACAGGCATCATGTGCTTGTCCATCCTCTGTCACATGACAGCCGATAGGAAATCCTGTGGAACAGTACTTTCTGTATTCACCTGCGAACTCATAACACCAAGTCACAGGCATGTTGTCAATAATCCTACAAAGATTAGAAAGATGTATAGCAGAGTCAGCTTAAGAAAACAGTAAGTTTAAGATGACACAAAGAACATCTCTATAGAATATAAATACCTGATTTGCTGGCCTTTATAGCACAACAACGTAAACAACATCATGATCAATACAGTCTGGGAGCAAATGTCATAAAATAAGGTCCCGTGTGAAGTTCGTGCTGAAAGCAAGCACCTAGTGTAAAAGTGTTCATTAGGTCCTACTAAACATGAAAAGTTTTGGTGCCAGCTTTGCCACTTGCTCAGACGGCTTTTAAGGGGGGGGGGGGGGTTAAATTCTGACCCATGAAATCCAGCGTGAAAACGAGGCTAAACCACATAATTCCTCATAACTTTGTTAATAACAGACAAAAATACACCAGACTTGCTCACATGATTGAGCATGATCCTCCCTGTTGGTTTATGCTAATTTACATAGGTCACGTGACCTTACGCATGAAAGCGAGGCTGAAACACATAATTTACTATAAATTTGTCAAAAAAAATCCTTATCATGCCAAACTTGCTCACTTTAGTCAGTTAGACATCTTGCATCGATTGGTGCCACTTTGTAGTGTCACATGACCCCATACATGGAAATGAGGCTGGATTGCAAAACACGCCAAAGGTGAACACATCATCCAGGACAATAACGTTGACTCATTGTAATGCATATTAATGCTGTATGTATAGCATTTGAATGAAAAAAATAAAAGCTAAAAAGCTGCAATGATAATGTATTTCGTGTGGCTTATATGACTTTATTATAAGCGATTTCTACAATCCTATTTCGCAATGGGAGAGAAGTCGTTGTGGCATGGGGAACGGAATGTGAGGCAACGCACAGAGACGTCAGGCATTTACGAAGTACACAAGAAGAAGCCGACACGAAGATTATTTTACCGGCTCTGGATGCCTCTGCTCGAGGTGCTACCCAACTATCTATATATTCTCCTGACACTGATGTTCTTGTTTTGGCTCTCCGACGGTATCCAGATTTGTGCTCCAACCCTTGCTTTGTTACTGGAACCGGCAGTAGTCGTAGAGTTATCAACTTGAAGTCAATCGCAGACGCCCTTGGGCCCAATGAGACGGCTGCGCTGCCAGCATTTCATGCGCTGACCGGAGCAGATGTTACTGGGAGTTTCTCTGGAAAGGGAAAAGCCATTTGTTGGGATGAGTTTGATAACACCAGCACTCCTATCTTGCAAGCTCTTGCTAACCTCGGTTGTGGGGAACAGCCAGATGACGGCACAAGAAGTGGAGTGGAACAGCTGGTTTGTCGGATGTACCAACCAAAGACAGACATCAAAACTGTCAAAGCCCTCAGATGGTCCCTCTTTAAGAAAAATCAAGCTGAGTCTGAGAGGTTGCCGCCCACACAAGCTGCTCTCCATCAAGCCATACTGAGAGCGCACTACCAGCTTCTTGTTTGGAACAACGATCATGTAGCAAACCCGGTGTTGCCCTCACCAGAAGGCTATGGATGGCAAGATGAAGATGGAAAGTGGGTACCAGTCATGAAAAATCTTCCACCAGCTCCAGAGGCAATTATACAGCTTGTCCGATGCAAGTGCGCCAAGTCCCGTTGCTCTAACAACCGTTGTCAGTGTCAAAAAGCCGGACTTGTCTGTACTGATCTCTGTCTGTGCTCTGAAGATTGCCAGAACGAGTATGCTGAAAGTGATGATGAGTATGATGAAGACGAAGTCGAACAGGAAATTCCATAGGAATGGACAACAGAACAATGTATATAGATATTCAGTAAGACTTTCATGACTGTATATATAAAACAGCAGTGGTCGCTATTTTCATTTTCTGCCCTTGTTCCAATATACATGCGAAAATGAATACATGGAACCAGTATCATAAGTTGGCAAAATTATTGATTATGTGTACAAGATAAATTCTCAAATGGAGCCTCCGCAGTATTTGCTTTATCCGTCTTGTCCCTGTGCTATGGGCCATAGGACAATGATTAGTTGAAGTTTTTATATCTGAAATCGGATAACCAGATATGTATCTGCCTAGTAGTTGTTAATACATTTGGCAGGACAAATGCCATCCTACACGATGCTACCAGATATATCCAGCCTCGTTTCCATGTATGGGGTCACGTGACACTACAAAGTGGCACCAATTGATGCAAGATGTCTAACTGACTAAGGTGAGCAAGTTTGGCATGATAAGGATTTTTCTTAACAAGTTTATAGTAAATTATGTTTCAGCCTCGCTTTCATGCGTAAGGTCACGTGACCTATGTTAATTAACATAAACCAACAGGGAGGATCATGCCCAATCATGTGAGCAAGTCTGGTGTATTTTCGTCTGTTATTAACAAAGTTATGAGGAATTATGTGTTTTAGCCTCGTTTCCATGCTAGATTTCACGGATCAGAATTTAACCCCCCTTAAAAGCCGTCTGAGCAAGTTGCAAAGCTGGCACCAAAACTTTTCATGTTTAGTAGGTCCTAATGAACACTTTTACACTAGGTGCTTGCTTTCAGCACGAACTTCATACGGGACCACATTTGCTCCCAGACTAATATCATTGACTGGCCTGACTCTTACATTGTGAGACAAACAATTAAAAATTCATTTATCTAATACTGAAAATCTTACAAGACACTGTCATTCAATAAATAGGAAGTTGAGACTGCAGCCACACTAACCAATGATTTTGATAGTTAAGAGCAATTCCACTTCTTAAAAATTCCAGCTTCTTCCCATCCTCTGCATTGCCAAATTTGTATTCTTTGGCACAAAGTTGTTGACATGTTACATCCTTCTTGAACGTAATCTGTCAAACATAGGAACAAATAAAAAAAAATAAACAAAGATTGCTAAACTATGGAAATGAAAATTGAATGTAAAATACACCAATTACAACACAGAAAAGTTGACTACAACACACCAGAAGAAAGCTAGTAAATATACCCAGATATTAACTGGTGTATTGCCCAGACAAACATGAAGTCATCTAAACAAGACTGTAAATAAAAGCTGTTGCTTACATTGTAAAGGGAGGGTCTTATCCTCTCTCCAACAACAACCTTAAAAAAAAAGGAAACACTGCTGTAAGTTCAAGAATGAAGCATGAATCTGTGTAAAATGAGATATATAGTACAAAAATTACCAGTTGAGTGAGGTATGGAAAAGGCTTGGTGACAGGGAATTGACTGTAAAATTAAGTTGTCAAGGGCAACCTTCCATGTTTCCAATGGTGACTGCCTCTTAAAGAGCCATATATCCCCAATTGTCATACACAAAAGCCCACCAAAGGAGGTCAAACAAAGTGTTGTCACTGGAAATGGAAACAGTTGCCATTACAATGCAATTTTAAAATCAACTGTGGTTGAATCACCAAATTTCTGTTGCTCCTCACTCAACTGAATACTATGTCTTGAACTTAAAACATTTCAAGAAGTATTTTTGTCTTGTTAGGAGCATTGGACTCAGGGAAGAGCACATGTAGAGTCTCTTTGGGGTTCAATTCCTCATGGGGATTCAAATTTCACTTCATTTCATTTTCAAGTTAAAAAATTATCTTTCTACTTTTGAATATTAGTATGGGAGAAAGAAAAACAATGCCAAAACGTTTCGTTGAGCATTTTGCCTATAGCAGGATATCTTGTCATTGACCAGTATACCACATCAGTAGTATTATACATTACACATGTGCCTTTTCCTTCTGACAATCTTTATTTCAGCTCATATGACCTTTTAAATCACCATATGGCAAATAAATATGGGCAAATCAGAGAGCTAAGAACACCATCTATGTAAAACATATTCAATATGTATGCCTATTTACAAACCTGTCCAAGGTTTTCTGTTGGTGATGTCTTGTCTGTGGGTGGTACACAGAAATCAAACCTGTACAAATAAGTTGAACATGTGAGTTGATAGAAATAATGCAGACTTTTACCCATCACCATGGACATGTACTTGCTAATAACAAATATCTAACCTTACTTTGTTGTTGCATAAAATGAATTTAAAGTCAAAACAATTTTTAAATATCCACTTTGTTTTCCTCTTGTCAGGTTCACTACCATTTTTCTCAACTCTTAAACTCCCATAAGTGACCAAGATAGAATTTCTCCTCACAATATCAATACAATATCAAGCAGACAAGTGATGAGAATAATTGTGATGATAACAAGTAATGAGAAGAATTAGAATCAACTAAGGAATTATAAATTGTTCCAATACCAAATTCTCCAAACTAAAATCATAAGATGTGTATAACAGATAGTAGGGTGAATTGCTGATGAGATCTGGGAGGGAAAGGATTCAAGATCAACAGCATTAAAGGAGGAAACAGAATTGAAAAGTTTTGACTGTGTTGTCTGTTTGTCTCAGTAAGAGTAGTCCTACAAATAACAACTACTACTGACTCTGATCATAACTTGTTCACAGGTTGTCAAAATATCACTCATCCTAATCGACAACAGTTCTATTCAGGACTACTCTTAACTGGATAATACAACTACACAGTCAATTATTACCCCAGGTTCAAACCATTTACTTAGTGTATTAAAATAATAATAATATTGATAGTAAAAGTTACAAACCTTGCATACTCGTAGGGAATCACTGATTCCACAGAATTCAGACTATTCACAAACAAATCAATTTTGGACTAGAAAAAAATAACAAAAAAAAAACACATGTGTTTAGAGCAAATTTACCAAAACTGAGCATTAAGGTCAAGATTGATTTTCATTCCTCTTTGTTTCCAACAATGGTAACACATATGTTAGACACCAAGGTAAGAAATCCCATGATTCTAGACAAATTCACACCCAAGGTATAAGTCAAATACATCTTCCCATTCATATTATAATGGTAATACTAATCTACCAGTATTCATAAATTGCAGGAATCACTAGATTGAAGATTTGAAGAGACTTTATGTAAAATTGAAATACAAGAAAAAAAACCATTAGATTTGTTTGTTTACCCTTAGAGAAAACTTTCACATAACTTTTCAATTAACAGCTTTAATGTAAATTTATTCAAACATCTCATTCTTAGCATATCTTGCTGGTAGTCAGGGAAATACAATTTTATTCTTGCATGAAATGTAAAATTGATGAAACAGATGTTCACACTTTGCACTTTAATAATATACATGGAAAAATTACTCAGTTCTGATTGGTTAAGATAGATGCAGTTTTCAGGTAATTCAGTGTGGAAGAGAGTTAATTCAGTGCAGAAGAGGGTTAATTCAGTGCAAAGAAAGTAACAAATCAGACATTCTGATTGGTCAATAATCAAAGGAACTCACAGACAGCCAATCAAATGTGAGCCTTAGATGTCGCAACAAAATTTGAAAATTTGAAAATTTGCAAGCGAAACAATGGCCGGTGTTTCAAGTAGGTTTTCTTTTGCCACTGCAGCTGAAAAACAGCTCAAACAATGAAAACACTGAAAAAGCACTGCTTTTTGGTTGTTGGTTTGGAAAAATTGGTGTTTAGAGAAGGGAATTGCCAAGGAAATCAAAATTACGAGTCAACCCAGCTTAACACTTTGCTCAAGTGATCCAACGCCAAAATTAGAAACAAACATGGTTAACCCTCAGAAACAATGATTCCATTTCATCGAAAGTGATTCCGACAGACTGAACAATTCCTTGAACTGTTTAGCTGGACTTTGAACTTTTTGCACCTTAAAAATGTGAAGATATCATTGCATGTTATTGCTTTGATCGTACGTGGTTGTTTTGACTGAATGCACGGTTTGAATAAATTATTTTTGCACTTGATGTGCACGCTTTGCTTATGCTTAATTTTGATAAGCGATCTCATATTTTTCCATGCATATTATTAACGCGTAATCACATGAATTTTCTCGTGCAATTTGGAATAAACAAGCACTTGTTAATTTTTTCAAAGACCACAAATTGAACGTGCCCCGAGCTCGTGCAATTTTGTTAGTCTTTAAAAAAATTTACTCGTGCTTATTTATTCCAAATTGCACTCGAAATCATGTGATTACATATAAAAACTGAATGGGATCGAAAAAACAAAAAATAATCTTGCTCGTGGCGAAGTTGATGTCAAAATGTCTAAAAATAGACATTTCTTTCGTTAACTTGAAATGGCTAGATTATAATGTAATCGGTAATGACCACAAGTTTTCACACGCGTGCTACTGCGAAGCATTTAAAAGGGAACAACCTAACAATACTTCAGAACTTGTTGATGGTAAAATTCCATAGCTAGAAGTTTCAACGAATCGAATTGTTGATGTACAGGTGAATAAAGACATTACAAATATACAAGACAAAATAATATTAAGCTTGGGTCCGATATATAACTAAAACCAAGTGTGATTGCAATAAATTAAACAACCATTACCTAATAACATTAAGTTTGTTTCACTATCTAAGAATATGCGCAAAGCCTCAACATTTCAGTAGCGTTGTTGAAAGAAGTCGAAGCGATATTGATCATCATTGACCACAACCAGCAACAAACAAAATTCTAACTACCTTGGCTCAAAATTCGTTGATTTAATCTATATCAGATTCTCCAAAGTGTTCTGAGCGTTACATAAGACGGCAGAATTGCTAAATATTGAAAGTTAACTCCGCCGAACCTTACCAAACAAGCAGGATTTGTTGATTTTTCCGTCACGCAATACGAAATCGGCGCCAGACCGGGTAGATAAAATGCCGCAGCACAAGAAATCCATGTACATAAAACCAACCAAATCAACCCAAGCGAACTGTACTGCTCCATGTGCTTCGAAAAGACTATTCTGTTCCTCCAAATACACAATATCCCGTTAAAAAAGCGTCAGTCCACGGATACACTCTTCCAAATTGCTACAGTGTGTGCAAGATTTAGAAAGCAGCCTTGTTGCGCAGTAAAGAAAATCAAATATCTGCGCATGTGAATGGTCATGTCATAAAATCCTAAAATGGCGCCTCAAACAATGCTAGTTCCAAGCCTCGTCGGCGCTTCCCAGCCCTCTTTTCTCAGACTCTCGCAAACTTGTCCAGGCTATTGAAGATGTACTCGAAAAGTAATTTGTTCCCGTTTAATCATATCATATGAAGTTGCCACGACTCATTTAATTTTACTTTGTTTTCAAGACTTCACCTGCTAAATCTGGAAAAAAGCAGCATTTTTTTTCAAAACTGTGAAACACAGTGGACAAAACAAAGATGACAATTTCCCATGATTTCAGCCATCTTGGCGTCTGCACTCCGATAGATAAGTGGAAACAACCAATCACAAAACACGTAGTCACTCGGCCAATTACCTGTATTATTCAACAGTTTATTACAGGAGCCAAATTTCTTGATTGTTATTCCTGTCTGTTTTCAAACCATTTACAATGGGATTAAGAGTCTGAAAGTTAGCCAAATTGAAGGCTTCTTCTTTCTCATCAATATTATCTTACATAACAAATGATATTAGCTTTGTAAATATCAAACAATTCCGATAAATCATTTTACCCGGAAATCCTTCAGGCGCAATGCAGCTCCGAGGAGAAAAAAAAAGTAGGCACGCATATGCGTACAAATTTTCTTATCTTTCATGTTTGCAACGATGAAACTATTATTAAGTTATACAGATGAAGATGCACTCATTGTAGGACGTCTGGATTCAATCACCTAGCGCAATATTTAACACTAATACTGAAGCACTGATTATCTTCAGTCCAAAATGGTCTTTAAGTAAAGACAGTTAATTACTTTAAGACTTGAGACAAACGGCGACTGGAAGATGGATAAAACTACTTCTGATGCGCTTGGACATCAACCATTTAACTTAAAAGCCTTCGATAAAAGTTTTAATCCAAACAGCAAAGACTTAAGATCTGGGCCACATAGAATAACTCTAAACTTCTGGCTACCGTCCGCATCTCAATAAAGTCTCTCTTTAGTTAAGCTTCCCATGCATTGTCGAATCGATAATCCCTACCTTCGTCTTCAACGGAGAATTGTTAATTAAATCTTGAAAATTAAATCGTTTAATACTTCGTTTGACATGGTAACATTTCGTTTATTTAGGCGTGTTCCATCGTCCGCCTTACTATTTACTTTCGGATTTATTGTTTGTTTGTTTGCCTTTTTATTTTTGTTTTCTTTTAACTCTTTAGGACACTGATGTTGTTTTTAAGGTTTTCTGGTATAGTTTCTGAACTATGAGTATACTTACGCCCATTATATCAGACTTCAACCTACGAGTACTGAGAATTTGGGGGCAAAACAATGGAAATAAAAATCGCGAGAACTAATAACTCGGAAATGGCGGCTTAAAAATACAGACAGATATACTGATATACTAGTATGAATGTGTATATATACATATACATACATATATGTAGATATATAGGAAGTCTGTGTATTGATTTTACCGTTTTACAGTGCTCGATACATAGAAGTAGAGCGCGATATATTTTGCGATAGGTGAAAAAAAACAGACAGACTACACTTTCATCCCTACAAGCCTGTTTCGTGATTGCACACTCATCAGGGGATTTGATCGAATAAAATTAATGTGAAATAAGAAATTAAATGATCTGTGAAGAGGTTAAAATAAATTGTTTCTTTAAGTAGAGTTTGAATTCTGTCAATATCCATCTCCACTAGGCTGAAAGGCCCAAGGAATTAACATTCCTAAAATAAATTGTTCTTTGCCCTGTGGTGGATCTGTACAGGGGGATCTGAGGAAACTGGGCATTCCTTGTCGATCGACTAGTGACAACTGACTTTAGTGAAAATTTCCATAAGAGCTTTAACTTTATGCATCACTGATTTTTCTTAGAATGGCAGAGAGAACTAAAGTGGATCTGAGCGCGTGATTCGCAATCCGGATGTCTGTGGCCTTACTCCAGCCAGCCTCCTCCTGGGAGCGAGGTTGGAGTCTGACGTCATTCTTTGTACATAGGCCAACTGGTCTCCCACCGACTGGAGTTATGAAGAAGCTACGTCATGTAATTTGTGGTCTCTTCAGCTCCACAAGGAATCTTCTCTTTTAGAATAGGTGTTTGTTTGCTGTGGAAGATAAACACTAAAAAAAGTTCCAATATGCCGAAAAAAAAAACAAGGGTAGACGAGAACAGCGGTAATTGGCGCAGGGTGCAATTAAAAATGGTAAAAATTGAGGCTAAAATTTTCAAAACGGACTAACCGTCTGAGTGAAAGGCGTAGAGCTCCTTGTAATTTGTGTAATTAGCATAAAATGTAGAACCTTCTGTCTTTGCCTAAGTTAGTAATTGCCCGTGTTACTGTTGACAAAGTTGAGACTTTTAGTCGAATAGACGACCATCAAGTCTAATCGACTTAATATTATTCTTTATGTCAGAAACTGCACAACTGAATTCTGGAAGTCTGTGTGATCGCAAGTAAGTAAAGGCTTTATTCAAAGAGGGTTATACTTAACTCATGTCCTTATTACACTATAAAGCGATCTAAAAATCGGTTTTGTATTTAATTCACATGCTATATACATGTATTAACTGATGACATAACCTTGAAATAATATTTCAAATAGGTAGAAAGCTTCCTGGTCATTTATAAATTTCTCGTACAAAATGCGCTTGAAACTAGCAACTGATACTTTCCTATGCTTGACTCTATAGTACCTCAAAGTATATTTTTCCTAACTTTAAAAGTTTATCCTCCCTCAGGTTTCCTTAAACACGTTCGACAGATCAAGTTTAATTTAACGATGGCCGAGGCTTTCATCCCATGGATTGTGAATTGGCATCAGAAACGAACCTAACCAATGTGAAAAACACTACAATCCTACAAACTCAACTACTTTATTACACAACGAGTGATATTCTTAATAGGAAGCGACTCTTAAAGGCAGTACAGTTCTTACGCTCCATAAACTTACTTAAGTCCACTACAGTCTATATCTTAACTCGCCACTGAGTAGAACTCAGTTTCCTCCAACGTTTCTTGAAATTAACAATCTTCCACTGTAGTTCTCTCTCACGGTATAACTTTCTAAACAGTCTGTTACTCCTGACAACAACTACGACTTCTACTACATAACCGGGTCCTTACATACATTCAGCAAGTGGTATTGAACATTCCAGAAGCTTACAAAATAACTATTTTAATAGTATTACGTAATAATTGCGTGACTTGATGAAATATTTTAGGAAGCTCTATGGTACGCATATCACAATGACTAAGCAGTCTGGACTTTTCTAGAAGCTTCTATTTACAACAACAATTACTCATAACAAATGCTATTGTCTGAACCGATTGACGATGCCTCGCATTATGTCCATGAGAGTGCGACGAATGGGTCCCATCTTCCAGCAGTATATAACAGGGTTCAAAGACGAGTTGAGGAAAACCAAAGTTGTTGTATAGGGCCGAGCTTTGTATAAAGAGATTGGACCTAAAGGACGAGCCCAGAGTAAAAAAGAGAGAATATAGAAAGGCAGATAACAAATCAAGAACACAATACATACATAAAATGTTCCAAGAGCTGACTTTCTAAGCTTCAAAAAGTTTGATAAGTCGCCATTTTGAACTCCCTGTTGTACTTCTTGGATTTGAAGGCCTTCAATCTGATTTTTGTGTCGCTTTAAGACTATATAAATTCTCCAATAGACAATTACCACCAGAATTAGGCAGAGAGTCGTAATCACGAGCCCAATGACTTGTGAGCTGAAAAGCAATGGATTCCAAAAGACAATATAAGAAATAATTGCGCTCAACAGCCATATTGATATCACCGCTGCGATGACGCGCCTGTGAGTCACAAGCTCTTGATATCTGAGATGAAGATGAACAGCTAAGAACCTGTCCACACTTATGATTACAACATTAAAGAGTGAGGATGTGCAAAAGAAAATAATAACGGCGAACAATCCCTTGTGGTAAATGCAGTCGATACGTTTTTGTTTTGACCGGCTGACCAAAGTAGAAATGTAGACGGGTTGGACCAACAAACCAACGCCAACATCGGAGGCAGCCAGGCTCAGTAATAATGTTCTCAAAGGTTTCGGCAACAACGCGGTTTTCCTTATCGCATGGATGGTAACAATGTTCAAAATGATGGTTGTATAAGACAAAAAGCTGTTGAAGACACAAAAAGCGATAAGTGCCAGACGAAAACCTCTAACATTCGTAGAGGTTCCAGAGAGAGACTCGTTGAGAATGTCGCAAATGTTTTCAGCCATGAGAACTGAGCGTTAATACTACTGTGGTTGTGATATTTTCCTATTTTAAAACGGAAAATTTTATGTCATATGAAGCTGTCAATAACCAGGATAGAACACAATCAAAGCCATCTGTACGTACAGTCAAAATGTCTTCAACTCTGGCATCTGAAATTTTGAAAAAAGCATCGAGTGTCGCTTTAACTCGGCGTTGCTTAGAATTAAAACAAATTATCTGTTTAATGCTTCAAGACATTTTTACTAAACATGGAATTTATACCTGAACAAAGTTATTTGAAGGAAAGCTGTCATTAACATATTTTTCATTTATCAAAATGAATAAACGAAACATTATAGTCAGTTAAATTAAAGAGAATAATTATTACGAATAAATTACGCACTCATTTGTGGCGGATCTAGGAGGTATTCAGAATGTTCGGTAAACTCACTAAACTGAGATAATACCGATTTATTTTTTAGTCGTTTTGGAGTAGCTTGGGAATATTTTCCGGTGGTGGATTATTACCGATAGCCCTCCCCCCCTTTATAGACGCAAACCGCATTTGGCTCTCCCTTTGACCACCTCCTAACAAGTCCCGGATCCACTTTAGTTCATGAAAAGCTGCACATAGCTCAGAAAAAGTCTAGCAATGGCCATGTAATATTTTTAGATATTTCAACCGAAAGAAATACAGATAAGACATTTTATCAAATAATCATTCTGCATCAAGCGCTTAAACAAAAAGAAAACAGGAAGTTTGACTATTGTTTATGCTGACGGCAGATGTAAATTAAAAACGAGGGCTGGCTTTTTTGTGACATAAATAGATGTAAATTAAGTGTGAAAAATGCAATACTGTGTTTAGAATATGAAAAAGACTTTAGCCAGTTAGGCTCAGAAAGTAACGAAGGAATGAAAAACAACGAATCGGCCAATAACAGGACTATAAATTTATTTAGTCCATGGATAAAGAGTAGTTTGCAAATGAGCGGTGTCAAAGACAGTTAGGAATTGCATTAGTTTCTCTTTACACTGTAAAGTGATTGGTCGAGAATTTTGCTTCACCTGTCAGCTACTCCGAAGCAACTAGATCCAGTCGCGACTTTACCGATAAACAAACAAAATGACTTTCTTTCATTTTTCTCTCTAAATAATCAGCTGGTAAAGTTAAAAAATTTGTCCACTATTGAAAATAGAGAGTGTTGAATTCAGGTAGAATTGAAAAAAGCAGAACCCTAATAATTCAACGTATAAGAAAGCTGAATCTGAATCTTTTGCCATTATACTAGACGAAAAGTGTTATGTGGTGCAATGTATTGTGCAACCATCTATATGTGCAATCATATGAATACAGACTACTTCGTGGCCGATTCTGAGAACACCTTCGCGAAGTTGAAAGAAATGACTAGGACGCAGCCAAACCAGTCGCTAGACACGTTAATCTCCCTACTTGTTCTATAAAGCATATGGCAGTTTCCGGCCTTTCCCTACATTTAGGCAGCTCGGAAAGCCGCAAAACACAAGAACAAAAATTTTTCTTTCAAATCGGCACTCTTAATCCCCACGGTATCAACGAGCGCTTTTCATTCAAGTAATTTATTCTTGTTTTCTCGTCACCACATTTCCACCAATAGCGTAGCTCCATTGTCTGCATATAAACCCACATACAACCCACAACTCCTCCAATCGCTCTGACGATGAGCTAACGCTCGAAACGTCAGCCTTTACACTCTTTACGGTGGCCAATGTATATTTTCAACTCAGTTGTTAACACTAAATTACCTATATATATATATATATATATATACACAAACAAATTAAATAAAAAATTAATATGAAATAAGAAATTAAATGATCTCTCAAAAGGTTAAAATACATTTTTCTTTTCCCTGTGGTGGATCTGTACAGGGAGATCTCAGGAATCTGGGCATTCCTTGTCGATCGGTTAGTGACAACTGACTTTAGTGAGAATTTCCATAAGAGCGTTAACTTTATGCATCGCTGATTTTTCTTACATGACGAGCTTTGCCCACCAAAAGAATTTATGCAAATTAGGCTAAGCCGGATCTGAGATCCGCCTGGCAATTATTAACTGTAAGAGAAGATCTCATTTCGCGCCCACAGTACGTTGGAGGTGTTGCGGTTGAGGTCTCTGTAATTACTTTTTTGGCACTTTTCGGCGTCCAAATTGCATGGTTTGAGTAACCCAAAACCTTTAAGCTGACCTTTCTTGTCATAACACGAATGTTTTCCAGATAGGGACACGCGGTAATGTCGGCGTCACTCGCGTGCAGGCATTTTTCAAGATTAAACCCTCGCGTGGAATCAACAGCTCATGTTTACTTTAACGCTCCTTTTAATGCGCACAATGTAGGCCAGGGAAATTTTACATTTTATCGGAATTTTTGCGAAGGATAATAATATTTCGACGCCGACCTAAATTATACGTTGAACAAAACGCAAAACAGCATAACATGTTTAAGAGGAAACTTGAAAAAAATACAAAGTTGCAGAAACCCTGAAAACCTTCGAATTTGATGGAAGGAAATTTTTAGAAATCTTAAAATTTGACTTCGGAGAAATGTTTTGTTGCGAACATACTTGGGAGACGAAAACGTAAAGCGAAATTATAACATGCTATAATCTAAATGGAGGTATTTTACACTATAAACACTCGAAGGACTTGCTTACTAGTAACAGGAACGTTTGAATTTATTGAACACACACCGATTTTTTTCGGCATTAACATATTGGTGAGTTGGAAATAAAAGCGCTTTTATTGCGCACTAAAAACTAAATGGAAGAAAAACTCAAATTTGTTAAGAAACTAGCCGATAAATTAGAAGAGAACTATCCGTATATTTCGTCATTTATATATTCAGAGTGCCTCTGAAAGTTCCTTTAAAGAGGGGCGTTTTGCTGGCTCTTCGCAAAGAGCAGTTCTGGCCACCTTCAACGATCTTGCTGTCGCTGTTGGGAGCAAATCCAATACTGCCAAAACTATTTTCCCTAAAGAAAATATGTCAGATTGGGCACTCTGCCTGCCACTCCCGTTGACAATTTCGGAGGCAATGTGTGGATATTGTTCTCGATACTTCTCCTGTTGATGGGTGGACAAGGACATCGCCGGCTTGGGATCTGACGAGAAACGAGCTTTCCCAAAATCGATGATCACAGGATTCCACTCCTCTCCTCGTTGCTCCATTACCACGTTGTTGCTCTTCACGTCGTTGTGAAGAATACCACATGAATGAATGTGGTTTAACGCCTCGATAAGTTTTTTTAAAATTTCAAGCCAAGTAGGCTTTTCTAATGTTTCTTTCTTTATGGCTTTGTGTAAAGTGAGGCCTTTGTTTTTGTTCCCGTGGAACTTGGTGACAAGTCGAATGGGCTCGCTCTTGGTTATGATACCAAAGAGTAGAGGGACACCACGGTGATCTTTCAGGTGTTTGATCATGGTAGCTTCGTGGCGCACTTCGCTTCTCAGGTGAGCGAGGTCGACGTTCTTCCTCTTTTTAAATTCTTTGACAGCTACCACCATATCTCTGTAAAAGGCTAGGTAGCAACTGCCAAATGTTCCAGCGCCAAGAAAATTCGTCGTCCTCACAACTAGCGATGGGTTAATTTCTTTGAACTTTCGCCGCTCCTTATCTTCGTTGCGCTTCTTCTCCTCTGCTAGCTTTTTCATCGCTTTCTCCGCGGATTTTTTTTGCCTCCACCTCTTTCGTGCTTCCTTTCTGATCTTTTTCAGCTTCTCTTTGTCCTTTACTGTTCTTCGTTTGTTCCTGGCCATAGCAGACTTCACGAACACTTTTACCAGATATGCAATTCAAAGTAATCAGCAAAAAACGAGAGTGAAATGTCCAGCTATTGAAAGCGTTGCAAGTAATTACACTAATGCAGGTATCAAAGCGCTATTAATGAAATTCTAGAAGTTCTGCGTAGCTCGGAAAACCTCCGGAAGAAGAGGTGTGAAAAGACCTCCTTAGAATGAAAAACGGCCTATTGTGCTTTTTTAGTACTAGTTTACTAGCGGCCTTAACGTTCGTCCATATTCAGCACTTATCTCAAACATGGCATCTTTAGCTATCTACAAGACGCGCTGCGATGTATGTGCGTCCAAGTTCAACACTACAACTGCGCTACTGAGACATAGAGAGTCGAAACATCACATTACCGCGCTCGAGGCAGAGTGCGTTACATTCGTCAAGTTCTACAATGGACAAGAGATCGTTTAGCCTCCCCCAAGAATAAGAACGGGAAGGTCTATCGGTTACAAGCAATGGATAAGTGGGATTGTAGAAAGTATCAATTCCTCCCTACATCCAAAAGCCGCTGGTATGTAATTTTTCTCTTTTTCGTTTTTCACACGCTCGAATAGTTGTTAAAATTAAAATTAATTGTGTAATCAAAATGCTACGTCGCCAAATATGGTTTTAGTTTAACCAGCGTCCAGTGAGGTGCTTACGCAAAAAGTTTTTCGAAGGGAACAACAGTGCTTACCGATTTAATATTTTCTCAAGAACATCTCAGTCTATCAAAACACAGAATTAAAAAATAGCAAGAATTACTGGTTCATGTTAAAAATCATCTGGGAACACTACTTATTTCAAAACTATCCTCGAGAGCGCTGTTACTTTGCTCTAGTTGTTTATAGTGACTTACTCATTATTTTTATTGTCTGTGCGCGCTTCCTTCGACGAAGTACGGGACATAGAAGAAATCGTTCTTTAATTCACCTCTAAAACAAAATTCATAAGCTCTTCTCCCATTTGGACACCAAATGAAATTGTACAGTAATAATTGCGTACTACGCGAAGTTGCAGAGTGAGAGATTTTAAATACCAACCAGTCATATATATATTTTTAAAAATATGATAAGACAGTCGAGGAAAATAGCTCTAGTTGCTGTACAGAGCGATTGTTACCATAAATTACCTTGCTACTAGAGGAATTTCTAAGACAAGAATTTCTAATCCAGGAAGGTTTTCAAGGAATACCACTAAAACATATGCAATTTCGTGATTTAAAAATAACTCAGGTTTATGTTTAAAAAGCAAATCATTTAGTAAATTTAACTTCCATTTTAAATAATCACTTCTTATAAAATGACTTTTGTTATTATTCCTTTGGTTTCAGGGAAATGGTGTCGAGTTGAAAGATACTATGTCCCTGAAACATACATCCAAGCTTTGTTGGCTAGCATGCCGAATGATTTTTCCGTCACGCAATACGAAATCGGCGCCAGACCGGGTAGATAAAACGCCGCAGCACAAGAAATTCATGTACATAAAACCAACCAAATCAACCCAAGCGAACTGTACTGCTCCATGTGCTTCGAAAAGACTATTCTGTTCCTCCAAATACACAAAATCCCGTTAAAAAGCGTCAGTCCACAGATACACTCTTCCAAATTGCTACAGTGCGTGCAAAATTTTAGAAAGCAGCCTTATGCGCAGTAAAGAAAATCAAATATCTGCGCATGTGAATAGTCACGTCATAAAATCCTAAAATGGCCTCAAACAATGCTAGTTCCAAGCCTCGTCAGCGCTTCCCAGCCCTCTTTTCTGCAGACTCTCGCAAACTTGTCCGAGCTATGGAACATGTGCTCGAAAAGTCATTTGTTCCCGTTTAATCATTGAAGTTGCTACGGGCTCATTTAATTTACTTTGTTTTCAAGCCTTCACCTGCTCAATCTGGAAAAAAACAGCATTTTTTTTCAAAACTATGAAACACAGTGGACAAAACAAAGATGACAATTTCCCATGATGTCAGCCATCTTGGCGTCTGCACTCCGATAGATAAGTGGAAACAACCAATCACAAAACACGTAGTCACTCGGCCAATTACCTGTATTATTCAACAGTTTATTACAGGAGCCAAATTTCTTGATTGTTCAGTTCCTGTCTGTTTTCAAACCACTTACAATGGGATTAAGAGTCTGAAAGCTAGCCAAATTGAAGGCTTCTTCTTTCTCATCAATATTACTTTACATAACAAATGAGATTAGCTTTGTAAATATCAAACAATTCCGATAAATCATTTTACCCGGAAATCCTTCAGGCGCAGTGCAGCCCCGAGGAAAAAAAAAAAGTAGGCACGCATGTGCGTACAAATTTTCTTATCTTTCATGTTTGCAACGATGAAACTGTTATTGAGTTATACGGATGAAGATGCACTCATTCTAGTGGGTCGAGGACTACATTACGCCTGGATTCAATCACCTAGCACAATATTTAAAACTAATACTGAAGCACTAATTATCTTCAGTCCAAAATGGTCTTCAAGTAAAGACAGTTAATTACTTTAAGACTTGAGACAAACGGCGACTGGAAGATGGATAAAACTACTTCTGACGCGCTTGGACATCAACCATTTAACTTAAAAGCCTTCGATAAACGTTTTAATCCAAACAGCAGAGACTTAAGATCTGGGCCATATAGAATAACTCTAAACTTCTGGCTACCGTCCGCATCTCAATAAAGTCTCTCTTTAGTTAAACTTCCCATGCATTGTCGAATCGATAATCCCTACCTTAAACTTCTACGGAGAATTGTTAATTAAATCTTGAAAATTAAATCGTTTAATACTTCGTTTGACATGGTAACATTTCGTTTATTTAGGCGTGTTCCATCGTCCGCCTTACTATTTACTTTCGGATTTATTGTTTGTTTGTTTGTTTGCCTTTTTATTTTTGTTTTCTTTTAACTCTTTAGGCCACTGATGTTGTTGTTAAGGTTTCTGGTATAGTTTCTGAACTATGAGTATACTTATGCCCACTATATCAGACTTCAATCTACGAGTACTTAGAATTTGGGGGCAAAACAACGGAAATAAAATCGCAAGAACTAATAACTTGGAAATGGCGCCTTAAAAATACAGACTGATATACTAGTATGAATGTGTATATATACATATACATACATGTATACAGATATATAGGAAGTCTGTGTATTGATTTTTCCGTTTTACAATGCTCGATACGTAGAAGTAGAGCGCGATATATGTTGCGATAGGGGAAAAAAAAACAAAGAGACTATACTTTCATCCCTACAAGCCTGTTTCGTGATTGCTCACTCATCAGGAGATTTGATCGAAAATTAATGTGAAATAAGAAATTAAATGATCTGTGAAAAGGTTAAAATAAATTGTTTCTTTAAGTAGCGTTTGAATTCTGTCAATATCCTTCTCCACTAGGCTGAAAGGCCTAAGGAATTCCAAAGTTTGACACTCTTAAAATAAATTTTTCTTTGCCCTGTGATAGATCTGTACAGGGAGATGTGAGGAATCTGGGCGTTCCTTGTCGATCGATTGGTGACAACTGACTTTTGTCAGAATTTCCAGAAGAGCGTTAACTTTATACATCTCTAATTTTTCTTATAATGGCAAAGAGAACTAAAGTGGGTCTTAGCTCGTAATTCGCAATCCGGATGTCTGTAGCCTTACTCCAGCCAGCCTCCTCCTGGGAGCGAGGTTGGAGTCTGACGTCATTCTTTGTACATAGCCAACTGGTCTTCCGCCGACTGGAGTTATTAAGAGCGATGGTCAGGAAATATCGACCAAAATCTTAATTTCGTGGCAAGGGTTGAAAAATCGCTTTCTTTCGTTTTTTGTCCATAAATAGCTTTTAGGTGGATAAGATACCTGATGTGGATTATTCCCGCCAAAAGCCTTTTATTTTTTAGAAAAATTAGAATATCGGTTTTTGTGGTCGGAGTCACAAAATTGGCTAATCATTTACGTGAAATTTGCATACATCAACTTGCCTCTCGTTCGCAAACAAAGTCGCACGGAGAAATTTGGACACTTTATTTCAACAGAATCACCGTTCTTCTTTTACTAGAAGATTCTTTTAGAGCAAAAGCGACACTCACCGAGCAGAAATTATTCAAAAATGAGGAATAGGTTTTATGGATAACAAAAACTCCGTTTTGTTATTGATTTTCGACGGCAATATTGCACATGTGGTATAACTCCAAATTGACTTCATTCTAGTTAAATCCCACATTTAGACATACATCTAAAACATACCTGGGAATTAGCTTGGGTTATTGAATGAAATCTCTATAAGGCGGTATCGAAGTTAAGGAATTTTCATGGTGGGTCGGCGGTAATTGTGTAAACACTTCCAGTTTCGAAATCCATGAAAGTGGATATTTGATCCCCAAATACTCATTTTCCTTAATCCTTGTAGGTTTTACAGTTGCAAAGTTGCGTTTTTACTTAAAGAGTGAGATAGAAAAGCCAAACTGGGTGAATTTTAGCCATTTAACCTCTATTGACCGGAGACTCCGCGTGACGAAGTGTTTAGTAACTAAACGTGATATTGGGGAGTCGACCAGTCACGGAATCACAATATTAACACTGCATTTCTTGACGGCGTATAAGAACAGTGTAAGGTATAATTGAATGAGTAAAACAGCAAGTTTTGGAAAATATGGCTCTCAAAACTCGGTTGCCATGGTAACGTCAATGCTGACGTACAAGTCACGACGACTTTAAAATGTCCCCAGATGATTTTTAGGAAAAGTCGCTAGGTTTGGCGCTCAAAGCTTGAGCGGTTTTGAAGTTATTCAACTTTTAAGCAAAGGGGGGCTTCAAACCCTTCCCGGTCTAAATAGGGTTAAGGGTGTGAATAAAATAGAAGAACGTATGGAATGCCACGAGTAAACGTTAAAGCTAAACCTC